ATACCTCGAGAATGAAGTTTTCTTAATTTATGGTGTTCCACAAATTGTTTCATGTGATAATGGACCCCAGTTCACAGCTAAGGCTTTTCGCGATCTCATGGCTAAATACAATGTCCAAAAGATCTGGTACAATGCGAACTATCATCCACAAGTCAACCATACCGAAAGAGTGAACAAATCAATCGTGACCGCTTTACGATCTTATTCTTTTCCTGATCAGAGAGCTTGGGATACTCATATCCACTCTATAGTACAAGCGATCAGGACTTCTTCTCACGAAATAACCAAATGTCCTCCATCTTATTTGATGTTTGGTCGTCATGTCCCTCTTTCTGGTGATTATTTTGGTAAGATTTCAGAGAATGCCAATAACTTTCCCACTATATCAGATAAATTACACCGTTTAGAAGATATTCAGCATCTTCCTGATATTTATGTGGATGTTCGCAAACGGTTGAAAGCATCTTATGCTAGAAATAAATGCCAGTATGACCTGAGAAAGCGAGCCTTATCTTTCAGAGTTGGAGATTCTGTTTTAAAGAGGAACTTTGTCAAATCTGATAAAGTGAACTTTCAATCGGCCAAGTTATGTCAGAAGTACATACCTTGCACAGTTATTAAGGTGATTTCTCCTTTAATTTATGAGTTGAAGGAAACTTCTACTGGCAGGAAACTAGGAAGGTTTCATGTCAAAGACTTACTGGAGGATAAGACAGTAGGTCCACATAACTTGTCAGATAATTCGGATTCTTCATCTTCAGATGAAGATTAACTGGTCCCTTATCACTTCTGTTCCAGTTTGGTTGTTTAAGATCTGTTTATCTATTTTGTTTACCTGGCAAAAAACCATAAGATGTTGTGCTATTTTGCCTTCTATTTTTTTTTATCTTATCTTAATGTTGGTTATTATCTTAGTTTATGGACTTGTTAATTTTGTTGTTTGTTTTCTCTTAAAAGTCCAACTGCATATCATAGGAGTACAGGATGGATATATGGGAATTTCCCCATCTTGAGTTCTGAGTTGAATAGATATTTACAGGGATAATTAGGAAAACATTCCAAATATTTTCTTTATTAGTGTTGTATAGTTTTGTGGATCATGACCATAAAGCTTATGCATTCATATTTACTTACTGTGTCGGTGTTTTAGCGTGGGTTCAGGATTGATCACCCTGGATGTGTGCCCTCACTTGGCTCAGAAATATATCAATACATATTAGTTGTTCCTTGAGTGTCTCTTAGGTTGAAATTAGAATGTGTCATTTAGAATTGGATCGTTCTGATATTCAGCAGTAAGTCTGTTTAACTTAGTTTGTTATCTCCTATGTTATTACCTTCTTAACGTATTTGAGTTTTAACATATCTTATTGTATACTGTTTGTTTACCTGTCTCTCTACTAGTGATATGGATTGGTAGATGTGAGTTATCTTTATCTGTATCTTAATTGAGTTTATCTTTACCTTTATGGAGTTTATCTCATACCTGTAATGGAGTTTATTTCGTATCTTTACCTTCAGTTTGTCTCGTACCTTGACTGAGTTTATCTCGTACCTTTACCTTGAGCGTATCTGTATCTTTACCTTAATTGAGTTTATCTCGTACCTTTACCTGAAGTTAATTATCTTTACCTTTACCTGGATAAGTTTCTTTCTTATCTATATCTTATGAATATATACCTTATCTTTATCTTGATTATAGAGTCCTAAAAATCTGTCCTTTACTGTTCTTGTCGTGAGTATAGAATTGGAACACGTCAATAGTACAGTTTAGGTATTACAGTTAGGATCTCTTTTATCTTTCCTTCTACCAAGTGTATAGCTGGTAGAAGTGAGTTTTGTGCATATCCTCTACCATGAGTAGATCTGGACGTGCAATTATCTTTTACCTTTTGTGCATATCCTTTACTATGAGTTGGGATTGCATTTATCTTACTTACCTTTTTTTAGCATACCCTATACCATGAGTATAGTGGGCTTGCTAGTATCTAGGCTTGTGCCTTTACCGATTGTGTGTTTTCCTACCGCTGCTAAATCAAGTAGGTGTATTGAATTATCTTTTACCTTGTTGTTGATATCCCGAACCATATATATGTTTAGGTTTGTAGTTTCAACTAGTTCTGAGTAATTAGGCCCTCATTGAACTCTATGGTGACGAATAGAATCGGGTCGCTCTAGTGTCAACGTTGGGTAAAGTTCATAGGACTTTGTTTGAATTTCGTTGTTATGAATGGTTCTTGGAGATATTGTGTTAGGGGTTGTTAATACACATATATAATGTAGTTTTAACGATGGTTGTTTTTACTAATACTTGAGAATGTAGATAAGTAGTGTTAAAAGTTAACTTGATCTGTAAGGTTATAGAATTAAACTTAAAATGTATATATTTTTTTTTAATCTTTGGTTTATACTAAATTAACATACATTATCGCATTAAAAAAAAATGTATGACTTCGTCTCATATTCTTCGTTCCATATTTTTATTTCGTCCTTGATTTTGTTCCAATTCCTGAGCAAATGGTTGACTGGTGAGGAAAATGTTCAATTTTAACGTATCAACGTTCATTGTCGACCCAGCGTTAGATCGTTCTGCCACAAAAAAAAAAAAAAAGTTCCTTTTTTTTTTTTTGCTGGAGATGAGGGAGAATGTAGCGTTTACGCTACTGACTAGTCCAATTTAAACCCCTCAAGAAATTTTTATTACCCGCCTACGATCGATTTTGAATCGACATTTTCCCCACACGCGCTGTTATCGCTTTGAAAGGAAGATCGATTTTGTGCGGAAGCGAAGCGATCAGTTTTGGTCTGAACTCGTCAACGCAGCCACGCCAACCGGTGAAATTGTTCACCTTCAAAGTGACGGAATTGGAGCAGAAAAATAATTTGGGGAAGAATATAATTCATTTATAATAATAATAATAATTAATTTGTATAATAAAATCAATATTCATTTATAGAGTTCCACATAAAAAGGAAGAGTTTTTTTTGGCGTGCTGCGAGCTCCATGTAAGTAAATCATTTTATACGTATTATCTCTTTATCATATAATCAAATTTATCATTGTATTTAGTATTTCTTTAGAGATTTATTTTTGAGTTCCGAAATAATTTAAATATAAAATTTCCTTGATTTACTTGCAAAGAACAGAAGGTCATTTTTTTTATATAGTTAAACTTAAATTCTGTTTTAGTCCATGTCGTTATCATTAAGTTTTTTTGGTTCTTTTTTTTACCTAATTTTTTTGGTGGAATATAAAAGGTTCTACAAATGTGGTACAGCCTTCTGTATTCTGCGCATGTTCTTTTCATGGCGCAAGCTTGCCATGCCTACGAAAGTAACTTCATAAATTTGACATGATGTTTACTTAACCTAATACCTAATGTTTTGATGTTTTGTTTTGGTGCAGTCAATCCATGCTGCTACACCTATTGAATTACATATTTATTAAATTAAATAATCATTTTAGATTCCGTCACGTGAAAATATTAATTTCACTTTACTTGAGGATATTCTCTTGAGAATATTCCCTCAAGGATACTAGTAACAGAATCCTTAGATACATAGTTAGCAAACCCGTGGATTTTGCTGTCACCCAGAGACCAGTGACTGGTTGTGGCTTTTGTGACCAGGATTCGTCTTTACAGCCACAAACTGATGTAGCCGTGCCAAGAGGAGTTTTTCCTATGGACTTATAGTGCTGTAAAGATAAGTCGTTTAACTATTTGACCTTTTGTATTACGTATTACTTTATATTTACTGTTAACTGATCATATGCATATGATAAGGTGAATACCTTTATGATAATTTTTTTTTGATAATTTAATTATAAAATATTCGGGAGGAAAAAGGGACACTTCATGTGTTATTAGGTTTTAACTAGGATTTAGAGAGTCTGACCAAACTCACTTTTTTTTGGATATAATATTTTTGTTAATATAATACAATTTGATATTAAGAGGGACATAAATTTAATGTGGTTTGTTTTTAAATATTATATAATGAGTATGGAACAACTCATTTTTTGGATGTAATATATATATTTAATATAATTGTAATAGAGATTTATCAAGTTTGATATCTTTACAATATTGTCATTAGTACCTCATTTTAGTAGAACTAATTTAAATTTAAATGACTACCTTTTTGTTTTAAGACTTTGGCTACCCTACGGACTATTCTTGTTGTATACTAATATTTCATATTTTATTTGGCCAGTGGTAGTGACTATTCATTTGTTGAGGGGCTATTAGGTCCTATTGTATCTGTACACCATCCACTACCACTGTTATTTGGCTTTGCATTATATGTAAATTGTTTATACACATATACCTATATACATTTGTTTATAAATATATTTATTGTTGCTATTTTGAGTTTTATTTCAGTTCTACTAACCAGTATATAACATAGCAAAACAAGATTAATATTTAGTATTTTTGTATTTCAGAGTATTACCTCCAGATTCATTTGTTACTTCAAAATCTCAACTATCGTTGAGTTGGCGCCCTTCTTTTCTCTTCTTATTGTTCTCTTTCTATAAATTTATTCCCAGTGACCTTCTTTAGTTGTATCACGTTTGATATTACCAGGTCTCATTTCGTTTCTTGTCTCATTAGCTCAGTATCCTTGCTATCTGTTTAAATCTTTAAAGCCACAATCCAGTGCATTGAAGCTAGCCCGAACACTCACTTGAGATTTAGTGTCTCTTTGGCCATTTAAATTTGTTCCTCTGAGCTTAGCCCTATTTTTAGTTTTTTTTTTATCACTTCTCTTTAAGTTCTTCTGAACTTTGTCAATTCACACATTTTATTCGTTTCACTTTGATCGTTAGATATAATTATCATTTATGTAATCATCATCTATGTATCTTATTGTGTTATTTAATCACACTACTATGTATGAATGTATAAAAGCGGAAACTTAGAGTTTGATAAGAACTGAGTTTGATGAGACTGAGACTTCTAAGAAGAGTTTGATTTGAAACATTTTTATACCAGTAAAAGATGATACCAAAAGATATATGTGATCTATTAGAAGAGTCTTTAGATGAAAAGATAGAAAATTTTGAAATCCAGGAACATGAAGGCAACGAAAAAGGTCAGGGACATTTAGGTGAAATGGTATTTTTGTCCATGAAAAACAAAAATACCGGCGCAGATCATCATTTAGTGGTCAAACAATGTCTCGTAGGTTCTGAAGAAACTAACAAATTTATGTCGATGTGTTTTAACAACGAAGTGCATTTTTATACCAAAGTAATTCCAGCTTTACAAGCATTCCAAAAGTCTTATCCTAAAGTTGAAATCTTTAACAATATACCAAAATGTTTTGCAACGAGCTCAAAAAAAGGAAAAGAAAAATTTGTAATGGAAAATTTAAAGGTAAAAGACTACAAAATCCACCCTAAGAAAATACCCCTAAATACTAAAATGTACGAAACTATTTTTAAAACGTATGGAAAGTTTCATGGAATTTCCTATGCCTTTAAACATTACCACCCTGAACAGTTTAGTGAATTAGGCGCAGGATATCATAAGAATATGAAAACGTTTTTTAATCAAGGTATGTGTTTTTTTTTATTTTCGGCTGTGTCATCGTTCACTTATCAAAAGAATATTAAATCACGCAGCACTAAATGTCTTAATTAAATCCTGGTTAATCTACTTCTGCTGATTGAACTATGCTTTATTTTAACTGAGATTGGAACTTTGTGTTGGTTCATAGAGTAATCAGTTGGGTTTAAAGGCTTAAACATTGTCAAAAATAAATCCTCCACCACTTGCATTTTGTCGGTTTATGTATCGTGTAGCATTAACAGTCATTTTATGCCCATCGCTGGATAGATAATTTCCATCGTTTTCTTTTCTTATCAGTCAGCTTTCAGTCTCTGATTTCCATCTCTCTGACATCCTCCATCACTACATCTCTTCATTTTTTTCTTAGTCTTCGTCCCGTTTTTTTGCCCTCTAGTACTCTCCAACCAATATTCTTCACTTTTCTATTACCTTGCATTTCTTCTAGATGGCCAAGCCATTATAGTCTATGTTTTTTCATTACTTTTGTTATTGTAGGGTTAGCATACAATTGGTACACTTCTGCATTAATTCGTCTTCTTCATTCTCCCACTACTACTTTTCCACCACACATTCTGCGAATTATCTTTCTTTCGTATGCTTCCAATTTGTTCTGTATGGTTTTGTTTATAGTCCATATCTCGGCAGCGTACAGCATTGTGAGCCTAATTGAAGGAATTGTAGCAGCTAGGGTATAAGTAGATCCAAGTTAGTTTTGAACAAATAGCTTCCAAAGTAATTTGCATTTTTAAAATTCTGCAAAACCCGTTGGTTTAATAAAGAAAGTTTAAAAATTCTATATCGAAAATATGTTTTCGTATATATAATATATATATATATATATATATATATATATATATATATATATATATATATATATATATATATATTTATTTATTCATGCCTCAACCTCATAGGGTCATTGGCGTTGTACAATTTATAGTTTTACAATTTATTTAAGTATAATTTTTTATACATTCATTAAAACTTTTAATTCATTAAATAATACAGAACATCACTTTCATTTAACAAACAATCACGTTACACCCTTTTTTCTACTTCATTGGATAAAATCTATCTCCTCAAGAAACTTTCCCGTTGATTGTCAAACAGTTACAATAGTAAAAACTGAAGATCCCCATCATCAGCAATTACAAGATAGTTTGAACTATGTTCTCCCAACCATTAATAAATCGTGTACCGGCATGTAAGTAATGTTTTGTTTATTTACTAATTTACTACAATTTAATAGACTATTTTATACCAATTTGTGGGTCTTACTTTGTCGGCTTAAACAGTTTATTTATATTAAAAAAAAACCACAGACATGTAATATTTACATCTTCTTCTTACGGTACCTTATCCTTAAGTACGTTGGCCATTACATTTGTCCATTTAATCTTATTTGTAGAAGTCCTGAATAGTTCTATGGAGGTCATGTTCGTCCATTGCCGTAGGTTTTAACGCCAAGAGTTGCTTCTTCTTCCTGGTACTCTTTTGCTATTGATTTAATATTTACATAATAACTGTAATTTATATTATTTTATCTTTATGTGTATCTTCATAAGACGGCACCCTAATATGAGTTTTAATTATTTCAAAAATATTACGATAGTTACTTATTTTAACAACTGGCGTATTATTTTCGTTATAATATTGTTGATATAATAATTACATCTTTGTAAGGCTAAGTGTTGGGGAAAATATCTAGTGTTTAAATTAAATTTACGGGAGTAGTGGTTTTTCTATTTTCGATTTTCTATTTCTATTCTAGTGGTTTATGAGAGTAGTATATAAGTTTAAAGATCATACAAATTTACGCCCCTACATCATCACATACGGATGAAGAAGTGAAGATATTCTACGAATCATTGACACAAACAGTGAACAAATACAAAAGCACCTACATAATCATTATAGGCGACTTCAATGCCAATTAGGGAGAAAACTAGAAGAATCAGAAAATTAAATCGGCAACTTTGGATAAGGAATACAAAACGAAAGAGGAGAAATATTGATGAACTATATAGAATCGAACGGTCTATATGCGATGAATACCTTTTTCAATTAAAAACCACAGAGAAAATGGACGTGGGTCGCGCCCAATGATTTAACAAAAAATGAGATTGATTACATCTTATCCAAAGAAAAGAACATAGTATAAGACGTTACGGTCATAAACATAATTTCCGTAGGAAGTGATCACAAAATTGTTAGAGCCAAAATCAAAATTAACGCCACAACAGACAGACAAAATTTAAAACATCTAAAAAAGAGATAGATACAGAACTTCTTAAGAACGCAAAAAACAATACATAAACCAGCTAAAAATAAGTGGCATATCACAGCTAAAGATTTTGCAACTAGACGAATTAAACGATAAAACAACAACAGAACTACTAGAAGCAGGCCTGAAGATTGCTAATAAACAAAAGCGAAAACAACAAAAAATTAGCGCTAAATCACAAGATATGCTAAAAAAACGACGACAACTCCTGCATGATAACAAAAGAAATACAGTGGAGTTTACCGAACTGAACAAAACCATAAGAAAACAGATAAAGGAAGATTTAAAGAAATACCAAGAAGATCGCATTAAGCAAATTATAGAGAAGAACAAAAGTTTAAAAACAATAAAACAAACATAGAAAAAGAAAACTAATCATGCTTAAAGCTGAGAACATGAAGAAAGAGATCTAGGAGAAATAGTAAAAATCACAGAAAGATATTACACAGACCTATACAGTTCTAAAAATGACCCACCACTATCATCTAAATAGAATCTCTCGAGGAAAATACAAAATATTGGCTCAGAGGTATTACCAGAAATAACTGAAGATGAAATCGAAAAATCCATAAAACGACATGAAAAGAAATAAAGTTCCTTTCTTATAGATCCGGGATGGTACGTAATATTTTTTGAACTCAGCCAATTCTGCAAGTCTTTTTTTAACCACTTGGTTGTGGGCAGTCCTTCTATAAGTCTGGAGTGATAACTTGCATTATCCATTACTATTACACAGTTCTTAGGAAGAAGATCTATCATTTGTTCGAACCATTCTTGAAAGACATCAGCGTTCATGTCTTCATGGTAGTCACCGGTACGAGTTGATTCAAAAGTTAATAAACCACCTTCAACAAAACCGTCTGAACTGCCAATGTGTACTATTATCAGCCTGCGTCCCTTTCCTGATGGTGGGTTTAAACCAGTAGATAAGTTATTTACAAAAGCGTGCCTTTGACTTGTAACAGTTTCATCCTGCCAAAATTTATTTGGTGTATGACCCTCGTTGATCCATGTTTCATCAAGATAAAATATTTTTCTTTTTTGGTTTCTCATTTCCTTTATGGTTCTTAGAAAATGTCTTCTCCATATGACAATATCGCTTCTTTCTAATAAAATAGACTTTCTGGGATTCTTTTTCCAGCGGAAGCCTATTTCTTTTAAAAGTTTCCATAACGTACTTCGACTCATTTCTGGGTAATCCTTATCATCTCGAACTGAGACAAGAACTTTATCCAATGTTGGAAATTCTTGTCTAAAGAAGAATTCATGCACTTTCCGTCGAAGTCCTTCTTTAAAATGATATTCTATTTGAAATTTTGGTTTCCCTGGAGCATTACGTGGCATTTGAAAACTACCACATTTCTCTTCTTTAATAACTCTGTAAATCGTAGATTTCCCAACACCAAGTGTACTGCTAACTAACTCAACGGTCTCATCAACACTTTCACATAAACGTTTGTCTGTAAATGATTTAAAACAATTAAATATTAATGTTTTTTCATTAACTGTTAAAGGACCAATTTTTCGGCGTTTACACGGCACTTCCAAATTTTCCATAACACTAGTATACACAATAAACTGCACCTTGCAACTGAAGTACCTACTTTTAGTGAACTGTTAAGAATTTTGAATACGCCACTTGGACCTTCCTACAAAATGGAAAAACCCACTATCACATTTTCTGTGGAATAAGTTTAGAAGGTAATTATCTAGTCAATTACTGTCGTAGATTCCTGGAATTAAAGAATTAAATGTTTGATTGTTGAAACCCTTACTTCGTGGAATGCACTCATTTCAGATAAAATAAAACGTTTTATTTTATCTAAAGAATTAAACTTTATTTTGCAAATAGGTAGGTACTTATTAAACTTTTATTGGTTATATATAACCAATAAAATAAACATCTTACATTTCTTGCAAATTCATTAGTACCTGTTAACCTCCATCACTCCGACACTGGCAACCTTATTTAGGGATTAGTAACCCTCACAACTATTGTATTCTATTCTGCTCCAACCTTTATACCTGGTGGTCATACTCAATTTAAAATTGTTTTCCTATATACTTCTGTAAACTTGTTGACAAATATCTGTTTTTCATTGAGTCACCCGTATCAACAGTTTAGTGATTTGCATACATAATTTATTGTTTTATTACTCTCTCATACATAAAAATACACTATAGTTGTTGTCCTCTTCTCGTATATAATCTTGGGCCAAATTATTTTTATAAAAACTATGATGAGCTTCTGGTATCATACCCGAATGGCAATAAATCATCGGGTAAGTAAAGAAAAAATAATCCCCAACAACAATCGGGGTTTAGTATGGTATTTAAACTTTACATTTAATAAATTCCAAGAAATCAGATAGCTACCCAGAATAAATAGGTAACTAATAAAATGGCTTATCGCTAGCTGCAATTTAATCTTTTTATGTCTGCACGTGTTTCTGATAGCTACAATTCCTTGGCTTTGTAATGACAATGTCATAATAGGGTAGATAAATTATTTGTAAAACTTTCAATATTTTTATTTAACAGGTTGACTGCCACGGCGGGCGTATACGCCCGCTTCGTAATTTTCCCAATATGCCCCGGCGGGCGTATACGCCCGCTATGCACTCAACAAAATTTTAAGTCTTGACTTGCCAGCGGTCGTATTTAGAATGGATTTAGATATAGTATACGACCGCTGTGGCATA